TACAGCGTGACGTCAGAGGTCATGTCTGCCATATAGGACAAGACTACCAAGGTACAACTGTAACGGTACAATGACCGAAAGGACTTATGAGTCCCGAAAACTTGGACCCAGCATGCTTTGAGAACCAAAATACTTGTCCACAGTCTCTCTCGTTTCAATATTTTAAAGATGGCGGCGAAAAACGCGTGGAGACGGAAAAAGCGTGGAGACGGATCGGACGAGGGAGATACTGTGGAAGAGTCTAGATCTTCTACCAGATACAGTCTCACCTCTTCTGAGCATGCTCAATATTTCCCATGATTCTCAGCGATTTCTCTAGATTTTTGGTGACAAACTTTATTGAAATAAGTATATATGAAATGGTATATATATATGAAATGTGTTTTTTGAGTCCCGCGCGAGAACACAACTGATAGGCAGATTTCTTAATCTGCTTACACCTAATTGAAAAAACGTAGTCGGGTTCGAGAAGGTATTGTATTGTATTGAGTTTCCAAAAGTCATCAAAACTACATAAATAAATTGGTACAAATCTTTGGACTATAAATCTTAGCACTGATTTCCATAATATGATATGCACTAATATTAAAATATATCATTTCTCTACTAAACAACACATGAATCTGTTCAGAAAAAATGTACACAAGCAATGCCTATCAATACATGTATCAATACATGTCCAAACGGTAACGATCCACTGTTTATATCTGGAAGACCAAATCAGCTCGTTGGCATTTTAGCGAAAGCTATGGCTAGATAGGTATTCTCTAAGTCAGGTTTTAGTATTCTCTATAAAGAGAATATTATTAGATACTTAAGGGAAATATTCAAAATCTACGATGGCGATGTCTATCAACCGGAAGTGTCGATAACTTCGAGGTTTGTGGAGGAGTTGACTCTACTGACAATGTCAGATTGAGTGAAACCTCCATGAATTAGATCCTGTCAGCAGTTTTGTCCTCTACGAGCCCATACTTGATGGGTTAAAAAGAGGAAGATGATTGCTCTATAATCAAACAATCCCAAAGATGCTAAGCTAGGATATATACCCGGGGCATATAAATAAGATCAAGAGTCGCAGCGTTGTGTAAAAAGTCTGGTCGGAGAAATGTTGTTGACAACCATATGTTCCCTAGCCACACAGAAACACAAGCGAAAGAGAGCACGACTGAAGACTCGCGAGATTTATTCAGCAGGTTGATAAATACCGACGAAGTAAGAAAAATATGTTTGGGGTGGAGGGAGGGGGGGGGGCATGGCTGGAAAACTTGCAGTAAACTTTGGACTTTGGACTACTTCCTTTTACGAAATTTCAAGGAATTTAATTATGCCATCCTCCTATTTAGTCAACAAGGAAACAGCTTTCGTCAAAATCAAAAGGATTGACCCCACACAAAAGTTCAAATTCTTACTTGATTCATTAACGTGGATACTTTCATAGCTCTTAGAATAGAGCTTACGTCAAGTTTAGATTTATCTTATTACTCGTCCATCAACCCTACAATTCATATAATGAATCAAATCATTAACAAATGGAATAATTTGAAAACCCTGATCATGTATTTAATTTTTGGTCTTGTGCAGCTAAATGCATTGTATCACTAAAATGTCCTTTTCCGCAAAATAAAATAAGATGAAATAAAATAAAATAAAAAATAAAAAATATTAAATCCTTTGGACAAACGTCGACTCATGACGAAATCTCTAAATAACTGATCGACAATAATTTTTTTTAAGGAATTGGCGAAAGACAATGATTGGCTTATAGATTTTAAAAAGGTAATCTCGTTGAGCTGTAAAGCTGCATATTTTTTTCTGTTTTGATTAGAAACCTCATCTACAGCGACCAAAATTCTAACAGCTTCTTTGATTTTCGAACTTTAACATGTTCCTACAACGTTACAGGAAAGAAAAGGCTGGCAGATTACCAAAAAATGATTCGCCAAAAATTTCTAAAGTTTTGAAGAGTGTTGCAGCGAAAAAAGTACATTTTGGTAAGTTGTATTTTAGCTGTACCAGGCAAAAACATGTTTGTATCAGGAGTTCCGTTTACTTGCATAACATAATGTCATTCCTGTATCATATATTTTATCAAGCTAGCCCAGCACATGTATAATTGCCACGAATATCAAAGGTAAGACGAAACAAACGCCGCTCCGTTCATTTTTAGTGGATGTATCGTCCTTCTTTCCGTTCACGGAAAATTTAGATCCAAATGGGCAGCCATTATAAGCCATTTTTCGATGTTTCGTTGCGCAATCGTACTCTTAAAATAATACTTTTCTTCTTTACCTTTATCCTGCATTAATAGAGCATTTGTTAGATGTGCTTCTTATTGCAAAGGCGAAAAGTCAGTATAAAAAGGACGCTCTGACAGCCCGTGCAGTCTATGAATTTTTACAGTTAATTTCATTTCTTAATTAAACAATGGAATTCAAGATGGCCGCAGTAACGGTAATTAACAAAGCAGCTATGCAACACGAGGGCTAATATGCAAAACACTCAATTTGACCCTCGGGTCGTATTTGTTGAAGTATTTTTTTATTCATTTAACTAAATCGCTTTGTCTACATCGAAAGCTCAACTCGATACACAATTCTCTTGGCTCTGACCCCTCAACGCACTTACATGGCATATTCACACGTGCACGTTTATTCACAAACTCGAACAATCCATCCTTCGCCATATATCTCCCTCCCATTCATCCTACCACAGGAACCCCATCCGAGGCTTAGGCGAGAAGTGTCTGCGGAGGAGGCTAGTCAGGCCTGATATGTACTTCCGTATAAAACTTATAAACTGGGGTTGTCGGAGCCAAAGCGGGTGATAGGCAACTAAGACCACTAGCGTAAAGAGGGGACAGTTGCCCCTCCCCCCCCCCCCCCCTCCCCAAAAAACTGTTTGCTTTTGGCACCAAAAGCTAACTCATTTATGCGGGATTCCTGTGGATTTGGCAGGAAAATTTAGGTCATTCTAAGATTCATCCATGATCACCTTGTGTTTCTTATTTTTTATTCTCGTCAATAACACTGGATACATTAACGCTTCAACCTTATGACAAGAAATCTATGCGTAATGGCGCAGCGCAACCGTGACGTCATAAAAACGAAAGGCGAAATTCGGACAAACACCATTTTATACAAGTTTACTTTCAGCAGATAATTTTCACAGCCGATCGCAGTTGATCTTAGTTTACATGGGTTATYATTGTAACTTTAAGTAAAAATAATAAAATCGGTTCGTATAATCCTCGTAGCGGTTAAACAGAATGCAATGTTTGTCCGAATCTTTAAGACATTTTTAGAATCAGTGCGCTGCGCTATTCCAGTTGTTAATCTCGGAATGACCTATAGACCAAATTCAAAACTCGCTCCGATGTGAGGCTTAAGTTGTGAACAAAGGGATCTGGCGTGACACAAAGTAATCTGGCGTGATTCAAAAGTCACGAATCACGCCAGATTCCTTTGTTCACAACTTAAGCCTCACATCGGTGCGAGTTTTGAATTTGGTCTATATCCAGTGTTGTTTGGAGTGAACAAAAACGACTAAAGGCTTTGATTCATTAGTCGTGTTTAGCCGGTAGGTGTTTACCATTTATTTTTTTCTTGGCCCGTTGGAATGACCCATCACTATTGACAACCTCTTTTTGGAATCAATGCATGGATGGTTCGAAAAGCTATACCTGCACGATAATAGCTGATATCGAAAGCATAAATAATATAATATCACGATAAAGGTTAACAATCAAAGTACAAAACATACAATAGAATAGGTAATGCCAAAAAGCAGACCATACAATAGCGGTATAGATCATAATATTTAATACCTTTAATTGCATGTGAGTTAGTTTTTTTTGCTGCCCTCCATCCCTTGAGTAGTGCGTTTTGCGTTTTAAGTTTTTGCCGTCTAGTTAGAACGTAGCTGCATGCCTTTGTATCAAAGTGTTACGTCTGGATTTTTTCAACAATAATAATGAAGTACTTTCATAAATTTAAAGATATAGTAGAAGGTAAGTCATATATTGGCTGGTTACTCTGATTCATGTTGCTTTATCTCAGGCTTATGATCCCAAGATTTCCGCACAGGAAGAAAACTGAAAAATTCTGTGAAGCTATGGAGCCGTGTGGGAGTAATTCTCAAGAGTGCTAAGCCAACTCACATATGAACGTTCTGGATTATTTGCATTAATGAAACATTAGCGAGTTGGAAAACTCAGTAAAATACAGCTAAAAAAATTCTAGTGATTATTCTAGTGCTCCCTCTCGTTTTGATTCGTTTTATTTGTGTGTGTGTGTGTTTTTAATGAAATCAAAAGAATAGCAGTCAACGTAAAAAAGAAAAAAGAAAAAGAAAATTAAAAAATGTATAAAGTTAGCTTAGAGTATAGTATTTGCAACGTTAAGCCATATTAATAAAAAGAATACTCTTTTGCATCTTTTGATCTGCAGTCTTTCAGGTATACTAGCTAAGTTTGATGAAGAAGAAAGAGCTCTATGCTAAACTAGTGACAGCTTTTTTAACAGCTAGTTCTATTAATTGTTGTAGAATTTTTGCCCGCTTTTGCGCATATCATTTTTGACATTTTATTAAAGTGAAGTGGAGTAATAAAGCCTGCAAACCCGTTCTCGTAACTGAGACTTCAAGCGAAAGCGGGTTTAATCAGCTAGTCTTGAAATGCTAACTCGATTAAATGAAATACATGTTTTGGCATATATAATCAGTAAGAATTGAAGGACATTAATAATTTATTAACTTTTTCACAGTCATTCGTCACTAAGATACGAGACATCTAATGAGAAAGAATGACTCATTCCATCAAGGGAAGGCAATGAAACTGTTTCCTGTTGAAAGTTCGAGAAAAATTGTAAGCTAAATCGTTTAACAGAAATAATTCAAGAAACTTGGAATGAAAACTATTCTCAAGATCAAAATGGAACATTAGGCCGAATATAACGACACAAATACTTCGGATAAATCAGTCGCAAATAGTAACTTAGGTAAAATAATATAATTATGCCAAAATCTTCGAAACGAAAAACTACTCCGAGTGATGGCGAAGAAATTCTCGCTGGTGACCGAAGTGAAGACTTGAAAGACAGACTTGGTTTAGGCGACCCTGCACCAGCAGACGACAGCACTGAAGACCCAAGTAAGTTTTTTAAAAACTTTATGATTCTTCGAGGTGTTGTTTGAATCCGCTAATAATAGTAACTCTAAAAAAATAAGAAGCCAATTTTAAATTTATATAAAATGTGTGCCCACTTTCGATAAAATGCTTCTTGTTTGCTGAGTCTCGAATGAAAACTAGGACGAAATTTAGGCATTTTGTTTTATTCTATATTTAGCAYTTTTTTATTTTGTTGAATTTTTTTCCGAGGACAAACGACGAAGTATACGTATTTGCTTATAAAGTGTATGTATTTTTATGAGAGCCGTGAAAAAAGAAAAGAAAAAAGAAGAATTATTCAAGACTAGAAGGTGTTATTAACCGCTTAGGTTGGACGAAAACCAATAATTACTCAAAAGAGACTTGAACTTTCTCATCTTCGCTTCTAAATTTATAACAGGAACCCACGAAATTCAACCGAATAGATCTTTGTACACATTATCTGTAATATACTGATATAAAGCATTAATGATGTATGTCTTGTCGTCGAAATATGATAATATCAAACGAAGAAATAGCTGTTAAAAATTTCACTGAAATGGGTAAAATATTTAGTTTAAAATCAAGTTGTTGAACGAGTATAATTCAAAAATTAAAAGAAAAGAAAAAGGTTAGAAATTATAGCGATGAATAGTATGGTGAATAAAATAGTCTACGGAACGCAATGATCTAGATGATATTTGTAAACATAAATCGATTGACATTGGACAACATAGGATTAAACATAGGATTTAAATTTTAAAAATTTTGGATGAATAAAGATTTTAAAAGGTGACAAAACAATATTCAAGCAATTCTAAAACGACAATAATTAACGAAAATCGGAAAATTTTGCCGCTTGTGAACGAACAGCGATAACAAAGAGGGACTATTTTTACAACGATAAAATAAWAAAAAATAAAAAAGACCCAAAATAACGAAAATGATATCGAATTTCGGGAAAATACACGAACGGTGTATGTTTATCGATATCATATAAATTAACACAATTTATTGATTATATTGATAACGCGCACTACTAGCCGTGACTAATGATAACGATACCGAATGTTTATAAAGATAACGTACCTTAACGATAACTCGTCGGTGGCTGTGGATGATTTACTGGAGGAAAATATAATGGGTAGCCATTTCATTCTCACGGCAAGTCGTAGCGCGTACGTGCTTTAAGGCCCGGCCCTGGCTAAACGCAGGTGTGCATTGTGTGGTCGGGTATGGGAAGCATTGGAGGTGGAAGAGAAAAGGGAAGGGGATAAAGAGGGAGATAGTATGGAGGTGGTGTTGCTGGCAAATTGAATAAAGACATAATCATCGACGAAAGATGGATGAAGATGGAGCGTGCTTAAACTCGAGGCAGTTGGTCGTAAGAAACTTAAACAAAATGTTTATTCTCGACTTTCACATCCCAAAAATCCTTTGCGTCTTGGGGGGGGGGGGGGGGGGGGGGGGTAACCAGAGGGTAAAAAATGATGAAAATGCCTTGTTTGGTATCCAAAGATAAAATGAAGAAGTAAAAAACAGAAAAGGATAGAAGCTTGAAGACGTTTAAGGTAAATTTTAAACATTTTTTCGTAAGTCAATACATTTTCTGTAAGACCAAAACTCTTGATGATCTGTACACGCAAAAATAACTTGGAATAAACTGATAATCAGTACTGTACAGTTAAAAGCAGGTATAGTATAAATTCAATTAAGAAACCTTTCAATTTGGGACAGTTTTTTGATTGGTTACTCCCAAAAACGCAAGGCATTATGGGGATGTGAAAGTCGAGAATGGATACATCGTAGATGGATAACAAATTACAATTATCATTATAATTATACAGCTTCTCATTAATCCCATATAGGTAACTGTCCAATTATTTTCTTAATTGGAAAGGTCTTGTTGATGTGGGATTAATTAGGCAGCTATATAATTAATAGGTCTGGGATTTCATGCTCCCCAATCAAGAAATAATTTGACTCGAAAAATTCCTCGTCCAATTATTTTTTAATTGGACAGCATGGAGTCCTATTACATATACATATTGCTTGAACCCGAAGCAGATGGTCTTAAGAAACTTAAATAAAATGTTTATGGATATAGATAGATAACAATATTACAATAGATATATTTGAGATTTTGCCCGCAGGCTGTTGCTGCACAATAGGACTCAGGGTCCCCTTCGAGGTACAGTGAAACAATTTCCAACACCGTAAAATCCCCAGCCCATATCCCACAATCAACCCATTACGAAATCATTATTAAAGGCACTGAGGTTGGTCACTCTTAGGGTTTCTTTACGTCCTCAGTGATTCTTTTACGTCCCTCCGTTGCAGGATGAGGTAATGTGATAAATTAGATGGCAGCGATGCGCACTAGGTTTATTGAGAATAGGAAAGTTTTTCAAAACCAGAGTGTGATGGTAAATATAAACTACCAAAACTGATCATACGAAAATCGGTTCAAATGAGAAACTCTTATATATAAATATAAACTTTATTTAACCAGGGTGGCCCATTCAGCTACAAGGCTGGTCTAGTATTAAGACTATAATGCTTAAATTTTGGTCATGCAGTAACAAAAGTGCAAACAAAATACAACAAATGTGGAAATAGAAAATATCAATCCATATATGATGACAAGATGTCATCGAAACATCGTAACTTTTTTATCATTTGAGTTTTTCTTATAAATTATATTTCTAAAGTTAGTCTCATAAGAATATATTCACATAATATATAAGATAATTTATCGCACATTATGAAATAATTGTTATGAATGTCGCGTTCTGATTGGTTTGGAGCGCGTGCAATGTGCTCTCAATGTGCTCACTTTTCGTTGCGTCATTCCTATCTATTATTGTAATTTGTATTTCATAAAAGAAATAAAAAACTTGCTTGCTGTGCTGTGTGGAGTCATAAAGCACTTGGGGATTGGCAGAACACTCTAGAAGTGTCTCCTAACACTTCTCTCGTGTTCTGCCAATCCCCGCGTGCTTTATGACAGCACACAGCACGCGCGCGCGTTTTCTATTTCTTCACAAGCAAATTAAAAAGAAGATGAATTCGAAAAACTAAAAATAAGTGTCTAATATTTTTCAATTAATGAATTTACGAGGTTTTTTTAAAATATTCGAAGCTTTTTTTAAAGAAACATTATTAATTTGGTTAGCCTGCGTTAATGATCATTTTTAAAACTGAAAAAATCTTTGACGTGTTTAATCCTCAGGATCGGGGGTTGAGGGGTATATCGTGATTGCGATTTTTAACTTTCTGTGATGAGGAAATCTTTCCCCGTGATTCAAGCATGTAAAATTCGCGAATCGTCATATCACGAACGTTTGATATTGAAAAATTTCTGTTAACGTTGATCATCCCTTTTTAATCGTCATGAACTGCGCGGGAGACTCCCCTTATCCCCTCCCCTTCTGTTTACCAAAATTTTGAATTTGATAGAAGCTTACAATTGTCGCGGGACGCGGGATTTTTGGGGAAAATAGCGCGTGATTCGGGATTCGAATCTCCTTTCGAGTCCTATTTGATATACATTTCATTAACATATCAACTAATTGCACAACTCAGTAGATTTTTGAGGCCGCGGGCGAAATGAAATAAAATTTGTTCTGTCTACTGTTGAGAGAAGAGAGTTCCGTCATTGTCCGCGGGCAACTAGCCAGTTTGACACATTACTGAGGTTTTCCTTAATACAAGATTCTAGAGCAAGCAGGTTTCTATTTCAATAAAACAAATTGGTGTCGCCAAATGGAAATCAAATATTTTGCTACGTCTGTTTGGATAGGGAATAGAAGGAGGCCTAAAGCGAACCCGACAGGAACTCCGTGCGTAATGACAAGCTCATTAGATTCAACACAAATTGTCTTCTATTTGATAAATAGGAAGTAAACCATTGATTAAATATTAGCAATTCTACGGATTAAATGCCTTAGAAACATCTAAGAAGAGTATAGTTTTGTTTCTCAGTATCAAGTTTTAGAACCTCTAGGCTTGGTCAGTAATCAATTCTTTTTCCCCTGGCCAAATATTTTTTTTATATTCTTACTATTAACAGTAAAGCAGTTTTGATTACTATTCCAGAAACATGAGAATAGAAAGATCGAAAAAAATTATTGACATGCTCATTTACATTGGACTGGAAATCTTTCAAGCTTAGAAAAATCTCCTTTGATTGCTGATAATTTATTGATAATCAAAATGTATACGTTAAGGCGCTATAGTAAGTTAATAGATTATTATCATTATTATTATTATTAGTATTATCATTATTATTATTATTATTAAATTTTAATTTTTATATATCTATATATCTATCTATCTATATCATTTATATATCAATCAATTTCAAGTAGCCAGTTGTTAATTGCCTATACGTAGAGAGATTTACAACTGTATTTAAGAAAAAGAATAAAGTTTCCATCATTATTATCATTATTATTAATACCAGATATAGTATGTTTCCACTTACGGCCTGGTGTTCCAAGGAATTTAAAGAAAATATTATGAAATTAAAGTTTACCGAGTGCAAAGTAATTCTGGTAGGTTTTAAACTATATGCGAATGAAAACAGTAAGATGCTAGGGTATTGATGAAATCGATCATTAGTATCGGAATTCGAGTCATGATTCAAAAGATTTGAATTACAATACCCCGTTATATTAGTAAACAGTACTTCCTCTCTTTGTTTAGCTTTTCCACAATATGATATATGAAGTTTTATAGAGTGGTATCTATGTTACCATTGGGATTTCTGTAAATGACCGACAGACAATATTATGTCGTTATTACTAATGTTTTGTCCTTCAAAATTGAGCAGCATTCCGATGACTTGCTGCAAGGGGTCGGTTTAATTTGCATTGATTGTGTAAACCAAGACTATGCCGTTCCTTTTCTCTTGTGTAAACTGATTTTACTTAAACAAGTACGAAGATGGTGCATACTCGTGAATGAATATTAAATCAATATTTACTTTAATGGTTTTTTGCTGTAAATGAATTTGACTTTAAGTCATTAACCGAACAGCATCAAACCACCACAACTATCGCTTTTTTGTACCTTAGTATTACGCTTACATTTTCGCAAAATTGTCTCCAAAAATATACGTGGCAAAGATAAATGGGCGCAAATGATCCTTTTATAATGTCACCAGTTCTCTGTAGTTTGCACGGTACGTCATCATAAGACTAAGAATGTTTTCACTGGATTTAAGAACTATTTTGTTATTCTGCATCAGGTAGTATTATGAAAAAGACTATCTGTGATTGTTCTTTGAAGCATACAGTATATGTCGGTATTTCTGCTGTGCGCTCTCAAAGAAAACTCGGCAACTATGGTTCTATATAGTGCGTCATCAGATTACAATAAACAAAAGCTAGATATGTGACTAAGCAGCAATTCATTCGCCCAAGGCAATTTTGTGCTTTTCTTTAGCCGTCGTAATAGTCTCACGTTGTTACAGCGAAATCACTAGCAATTTTTGTGACAGAAGGGCCGTGTATATTCTGTATATTCTGATCGGGCCGGTTGTGCTGTGATTTTTTAAACCATCTTCCTTCCTCCATAATATATTATAATTGAAAACTTCTTGGCAATATAAAAATTACTAAAATAAATAATATGATGATGCATGATGATAATGCCGTGCTTATACGTAGTTTATTCAAATGTCAATTAAGAAACAGAAATACCCCGGGGGGGGGGGGGGGGGAGGTACTACCACCCCAACTTGGGTAGGGGTGTGACGCCAGGACCTCAAAACCCCGACCCTATCCCAGACCTAAAATTTTGATTTTACATACCCTACCCCACACTAAAACTAAGAATTATACACCCTATCCCAGACTAAAAGACGGTTTTACAATCGATTGCAATCAATATTTACTAACGTTTTTATTGCACATACCCGTATAGCAAATATAGGGGAGTGCCCCCCCCCCCCCCCCGGGAAAAATACTCATATCAGACACATATACTTTTTCTTCAACTTTATCTCTCTAGTAGATCTTTAATTCTACCGAATCTTCCTTCTTTACTTCCTTCCTTCCTTCCTTACACTTTCCTTCATTCCCTTATCAGTAGGTCTTTCTTTTTATTCTTTTTATTTCATTCATTCATTCATTCATTCATTCATTCATTCATTCACTTTCTCTCTCTTTATTATCATTTCTCCCCACATCACGAGTAACGCGAGTAGGGCATGGTCACTAATGATCAACCATTTTGAATATTTTTGGCGGCAATATCTGTAGTGCGGCAGGTGAACCCCTCAAGATTAAATTAAGATTTTCACACGAGAACAGTAATTATGGAAACACTACAATTGAAAACAAATGATATAAATGACAATACAGCGAATCGTACTCGTGAAGCTAGGTGTCGGATTCATCCCCTCCCTCAAGTGTTATTCTCTTTACAAATAATGTAAACAATATTACGCCATTGGTTAGTCAACCATACATAGAAGGCTCCAGCCTTGGTCTTTACTAAACCACCCATGGATAGAAGTCAAACTTTTTAAGAACCTTTAAAATCGATAGAGCAAATATGTATATTTTAAGTTAAGTTTATATTCTAGAGAAATTATTTGCTTCAGCTTAATTATAAAGAGTCATGGCTTTGGGGCCTCAAGGTTACAAACGAATGGCGGATAGTATCTTTTGTAAGTTATGTGAAGTTGTAAAATATGAATGTACTATTCAGAGTTAGAAAATAACAATTTTCATTTTGATTTTCTCTTTTAGCTGTGATGGGGAAACGAGCCGAAGGGCTAAAAGGACTTGAATCGCCCGACGAGTGGGAAATCGTGGAAAGAATTGGCGAAGGAACTTATGGCGAAGTTTTTAAAGTTCGTAATATCAATACAGGACAATTCGCTGCCGCTAAAATTATTGATTCGATTCTTGAAAAGGTCGAGGAAGTCTTACCGGAACTTGAAATATTCAAAAAGTATTCAGATCATCCGAATGTTGCTGGGTTTTATGGAGCATACATCAAACGAGAAGATCCCAAAAGACAAGACCAACTTTGGCTTGTCATGGAGGTGAGTTTTTGAAAAATTCACTCTGAAAAGTTTACTTTAAAAAATTCTTAACGCTTATCTCAAGCTTATAGTCCAACGAACGATATAATCTTAAGTATTGTATTTATTTATTTCTTGATTGTTTGCTTGTTTGTCAAATCTTTCTTTTGTTTGAGTGTGGAGGCCAGAGTATGTGAACATTGATAAATTTTGAGTTGCGTGTGCAAAGGAAAATAATTCATTGTTAATTTTTAATAACTGGTATCGCTGCTGTTATCTATTTGCAGCATTTACGACATGCATCAGTTCTAAATATATATATCTATAGATATAGAGCTAGAAATGTTCTATAATTCAATATACAGTAGGGTACATTTGGCTGGCATTGATGAATTTTGGGAAATGAGAGATGTATGGGATCTCCATGCATGCATCTCCCATTTCTCTGAAGAAATTTGTGGTTTCTTTTCATTTTATAAAGTGTGCTGAGATTTTGTAGCATGCTATATATAAGAACTTTTATATTAATATTATTGTGAGAGCTGGGACAAATAATGATGTGAAAATATGGGAAATTAAATAAAGAGAGAAATAGGATAATGGATCAAAAATTGATTAGTTTAAAATATATATTTATAAAGAGCTAGAAATAATTTAGAATTGACTAATACTACACTGATAAATAGGGAAAAGGATAAAGGGAATAAAAATATGGGAAAGAAAGAGATAGTGAATGGGAATTCCCAAGGGCATACCCACCATTAGTGATTAGCTACAATCTTCATACTTTTATATTAGTTTACATTCAATGCAGTTGTTCTAAATTCTAAATGTTAATTAATGAACAATGGCAAGTATTATATTAAACCAGATTGTCAATATAACTTAATTTATTGATATTTATTTTCAATGGATAAAGAACATTCTGGAAATGAATCTGATTTGATTGTTTTTTTACACACTTTCAAATCTGTTTTAAGTATAGATCTCCTTGTGTGTATAAAATAAATAAATAAATAAATATTTAATAATTAATAAATTGCTTTTATTTAAGTGTCTAGTTGTTCTAGCGCTTTTGCACTAATTGGGGACACTTTTCACTCACCCGCACTACCGCTACATTCAATATTCTATGCTAACAATGCTCAGCTCACACTTCAAAATATACACTTCAAATCATTTTTATTTTCTCTAGTTATGCCGTGGTGGGTCAGTCACTAATCTCGCTAGGAATCTTTTAAGGCAAGGCAAATATCTGGAAGAAGATCTCATTGCTTACATTCTTTATGAAGCTATCAAGGTACAGTGAAATTTTTATATTCATAACAATAAAATAAAAAACCATAAGGAAACAGACAGATCTCACTAGACTTGAATAAATTTGAATTATAATAACCTTCAGTATCATTACATCTATGTAGACTGATTTTCATGTGTCTATGAAAAACTTGACAAGGAATTTAATCATGAATTGCTGGATTATTGAATGAATTCTCTTACCAGATGCAGTAGATAATAATATCTTAAAATGTTTCACAAGTTATAGGAAAATAAAGAAATATAAAAAATATACAGTACATCAATGTCATCAGAATTAACGACACATTGAGCTACAAATAATGGAAAAAGAATGCATGTGATGAGTTAATTTGGGTAGTCAGGGTAGCACTGCATTGTACTGCTTTGAAGGGGATTCATCTTCACAGCAGCAGTTGCTATTGTAACTAGGAAGTGCGTAGGAAAGACACTTATGATACTGACAAATAGATTATTTGTAGCTGTTGGGAGTTCTGTATCAAAATTGAGTTTGATTATAACCATAACATTGATGTTAATTTTGTGACGTATTTTTTTGGTTTCAATGAATTGTATTGAATTATATAGGTTGCTATCAATAGACACCACTTCCAGTAATAGCTCTTTTTTTTGATGGCTTGTAGAATCCTGGAGGTTGTTTTGATCTCTTGTTTTCTGGTTTGATGTCGTGAAAATAGTCAAATACAATAGTTTGAGGACTTATTTTGATATGTTTTGACTTAGCATCCGCTAGTGGCTCCCCAGTCAACCGCTTGTTTGCCCCCCAGTCAACTCCAAAAAGTCACGTGATTGATAGTAAGCAAT